CATTCGAAAGGCCTCTCGGTCCAGGAAAGGGTGTAACTGGTGGACAACATGAAGTTGTGCAAAGGCCCTCTTGGCCACGACTGCCACCTGCTCTTTGGGCAGGAGTCATGAGTCCAAGAGAACCCCCAAGTTACACACCAGGTCTGTCTGGGGCAGAGCAACCCCATCCAGAACCAAAGATGGCAAATTCCTAGGGGCTGAGGGGACATTAACCCACAGCCACTCCATCTTGCCAGGGTTCAGCTAAAGCCTGTGGTTCCCCATCCAGACCCTCACAGCTTCCAGGCACCTGGAAAGGGTAGCCACAGCATCACTTACTTCTCCCGGGATGGAGATGTATAATTGAGTATCATCGGCATACTGATGATACCTCACCCCGTGGAGACAGATGATCTCACCCAGCGGTTTCATGTAGATGTTAAAAAGGAGAGAGAGAGAGTATCGAACCCTGTGGCACCCCATAAAGGAGGGGCTGTGGGCCCGATCTCTCCTCCCCTATCAACACCGACTGGGACCAGCCCTGGAGGAAGGAGGCAAACCAGTGCAAGACTACGCTGCCCACCCCCAACTCCCTGAGTTGGTCCAGAAGGATACCATGGTCGATGGTATTGAAAGCTGCTGAGAGGTCAAGGAGGACCAGGATGGATGCACCACCTCCATCCCGCTCCCACCAGAGATCATCCATAAATGCAACCAATGCTGTTTCTGTTCCATATTTGGGCCTGAAACCTGACTGAAAGGAGTCCAGATAATCCGTATCATCCAAAATCCTCTGAAGCTGCAGTGCCACCACCTTCTCAACCATCTTTCCCATAAAGGGGAGGTGGGAGATTGGATGAAAATTATCTATTATCTATGTACGCTGCAGAGAGATAATCAGAACAAGAGAGTAGGATTCAGAAATTCAATTATTTTGTGATTTGTACATCAAATTAGTAACATAGGAATCATTGTTGTACTTATTTCATTTAACTCCCATGCTTCCTCCAAGGAAACGAAGAAGGCATGATTGTCTGTCCCTGCAACTTATCTTCTCAATGGGCATATGATTGTGAGAAAGTATACTGTAAATAATCTCAGAAAATAGTTGCCACAGGACAGGACCTTCTGGTTTATGAATTGATTACCATGGTCTCTGTGGTTAACTACAAAACATATATTTACCAGCAAACTGCCCAAAAGACAGAGATCTAATTGCTGGGCAAGTGGACACACTTCTAGAAGAAAACATTGTATACAAATTCCTATAAAACATAAGTAGGCCCAAGAGATTCTTATAAATAAAGATGATGCTAGAAGCTGTAATTTTGCTTTACAGGATGCC